TGGCAAGACTTGAATTAGGTTGAAATTTAGAGGTTCATAATCTATCAACATGAGGAATATACATTGAGATACTCCAGGCAGGCAGGCATCATGTCTACCAACTTTCTCTAAAATGGTCCAGAAAAAAAATAATCCTTATACTTTCAGCAATTTTTTGTGATTATTAAAAAACGCTTTTAACCTTCTCTATAAGGAAATAGACTTTGAGATCTGGTAGAAAATCCCAAGCTTTAGAAGTTGTAAGAGCTATATACAAGTAATTTATAACCCAGCTAAGTTAAGTCATATCACATACCTACCTGGTAAATCAAATTGACCCCAAATTTCACTGAAAATTCCTAACAATTCTTGCTATATAATACATCACAATATGCATTAAGGAAGGTTAATGCCCCTTAAAAAATAATTGCCCCAATTTGACCCACCTTATCTGAAATACTGGATCTATGGAGAATTCTTTATATTTAAATCCAGTCTCCTGGTAACTGTCTTGATTGCAATTGAAGATACCAGTTTTAGTCATGGCCCAAGAAAATACTTCTTAAAGGAATTTTTAAGTGAAGAAAAATGGAACTCCAGAGAACAAAAACTAGAGCTCTGTTTCACACTCACTGTACCTGATTCCAGACAGCATTTATTTTCTAGAGTAACTCTCATTCCAACAGAAAGCTAATTTCCAAGATAAAGGGGCATCCTGATCTGTTAGGATTTCTCAAGACTCCTAATAAAGCAACAGAATGAAGTGAGCACTAGAGGGCACAGCTGGGTTATTCTCATACATGTCTATACAAGGAAATTTTCTTCTCTTCTACATTTAAAAAGGAGTTTATATTCTCTTTTCACTTTGAAACACAATAGATGAATGACTTCATTTCCAGAAAGGTGCAGTGCCTTTTCTGAGACGAGATTTAGAGGTGGGGGAAAAAATACTAAAAGCAAATTAGGACACTTTCTCATTTCTGGATCACAATATATCTACATTTTTCTTTCAGGTCATGTCTGTTATGTTCTAGTATTTTTTAAAAGATTTATTTTATTTGAAAGGCAGAGTTACAGAGAGGCAAGGCAGAGAGAGAGAGAGAGAGAGAGAGAGAGAGAGAGGTCTTCCATCTGCTGGTTCACTCCCCAGATTACTGCAACAGTCGGAGCTGCACTGATCTGAAAGCAGGAGCCAGGAGCTTCTTCCGGGTCTCCCACACGGATGCAGGGGCCCAAGGACTTGGGCCATCTTCTACTGCTTTCCCAGACCATAACAGAGAGCTGGATCGGAAGTGGAGCAGCCAGGACTCAAACCGGCACCCATATGGGATGCAGGTACTGCAGGTGGCGGCTTTACTGGCTATGCCACAGCGCCAACCCCTCTTTGCTTTTCATAACTGCCAGATAGCACTGCAAACACCATTTCCTTGCTGTCATCTTTCTGTTTAGTGTAATTTTCAGCTTTCCACTGGGAACTAAACTTGAAGAAATTTTTTAAAAAGACACCTCCAGTAACAAATAAATCATTTCTATGCCACTCTTAGAGCTGAATAGTGGAGTTTTTAAATCTTAGTGTCTGATATTCTGTAGTATATAGAATCACATCTGTTCCAATCATCAAGCAATTCTGAATAAGCAGCCTATGGTGTGTGACATGAAGAAGCTAGGCTGAAGATAGGGCTTTGACCATGCTGTGCACCTCACCTCCACCCACACAGCTCCTCTCCACTCCATGAACCCACCTTCTCCACACACTTTTCCTTGCTCCTTCTTTAACCCTGGTTAAATATATGAACACTGCAATGAGAGATAGGAAAAATATATATATATATACATACACAAACACACAGAACATTACAACCTAGTTAGAAAGACAAAGCCTAAAACTAAGAAAATATTGTTAACACAAAGCTATTTAATTAATAACAAAAATTATGGATATGCAACATTTTAAATTATCCAGAATAGCACTCATTTAAAATACTGTGACCTACTGTCACTTTGTGTGTTGAAAGAGATTTTAAGGAGCCAGTGTTGTGGCACAGGAGATTAAGCCCACCCTTGCAATGTCAGCATCTCATACCAGAATACCAGTTCCAGACCTAGCTGCTCTACTTCCAATTCAGCTTCCTGCTGATGTACTTGGAAATGTAGCAGAAGATAGCCCAAGTGTTTGGGCTCCTGTCAACCATACGGGAAATCAGGAAGGAATTCCTGGCTCCTGGCTCCAGTTTGGACGACCTTGCTTTTGAGGCCATCTGGGGAGTGAAACAGCAGATGGAAGATCTCTCTCTCTATCTCTCCTATCACTCTGCCTTTCAAATAAATAAATAAATATTTTTAATAATATAACTTATTACAATGTTTGGCTGTAACACCTTTAAGGACTCAGAAGATCTGGATTAGAATATAAATTTAATTTAAAATTCTCATCTGTAAAATGGGAAAAGTAGTACATATCATTTAGAGTTAATATGAGGAGTATATTTTCTGGAATAACATGCAGCAGGTATCAAAGACATCTCCAAAAAGTTCATGAAAAGTAGATATTATGAAAAATTTGCATGGATTTCAAAAAATTTTTGCACCAAATTAAGCTTATCTTTTAATTCTATTGTCTCTTAACTTTTTGAAGAATCCTCACATTTAACCATAATGGATGATTACATCTACATCATGTCAAAATATATGTTCAGTTTCTTTAGGTTTATTGATTTGTTTGTTTTTAAAGATATTTATTTATTTACGTATTTGAGAAGTAGAGTTACAGACAGAGAGAGGGAGAGGCAGAGAGAGAGTCTTCTGTCTGCCTGTTCACTCCCAAATAGCAGCAATGGCCAGAACTAACCTGATCCAAATCCAGGAGCCAGGAGCTTCTTCCAGGTCTCCAATGTCGGTGCAGGGGCCCAAGCACTTGGGCCATTATCCACTGCCTTCCCAGGCCATAGCAGAGAGCTGGATTGGAAGTGGAGAAGCCAGTACTAGAATTGGCACACATATTGGATGATGGCACCACAGGCAGAAGCTTAGCACACCACAGCACAGAGTCAGCCCCTATTTATTTGTTTGAAAGTCAAAGTTACAGGGAGTGAGGGAGACACAGTGAGAGTGAGAGCTTCCATCCCCTGGTCTCCCTCCCTAGATGACCTCAACAGCCAAGGGTAGGCCAGGCCAAAGCCAGGACCCAGGAGCCCCATCTGGGACTCCCATGTGGGTGGCAGGGGCCCAAACACTTGAGCCATCCTCTGCTGTCTTTCTCAGGCCACCAGCAGAGACCTGGATCTTAAGTGGAGCAGCTGGGACATGAACGAGCACCCATAAGGGTGCCGGCATCACAGGCAGCGACTTTACCCACTGTGCCACAATGATGGCCCTCAGTTTTTTTATTTCTTTAATTGGAGAATCTCATCACATGGCTACACATCAGGTATTGTGCTAGGCATTGGATAAAGATGGGACACATAGTATCACCCTAAATGGACTTACCATCTAACATTAACACTAATATTAACAGTATAACAATATGAGTATATTTATATCATAAACATTCATAAGCTTAAGTAAATAAAAATACATAGAGAGAAGGCTACCCTCAATTTGTGACCCTTTCAGGTACATGATCAACAATGTTTAGAGACCCTTGGTAGATCTATACCATATTGTGGTAAAAGATTTTGCAGAGATGATGTGAATGAAGTGCTAAGGGAACCCCAAGATTTATAATAAATCTTCACAGTCTTAAATATAATTAGGGATTCACGAATCAGGAAAACACAAGAACAAAATTTCAGTCAAAGATAATGGGTGTGGGATTTGGTTAAGATAAAGCTGTGTTGAAATACTGGCTCTAGCTGGTGCCGCGGCTCACTAGGCTAATCCTCCGCCGGCACACCGGGTTCTAGTCCCGGTCAGGGCGCCGGATTCTGTCCCAGTTGCTCCTCTTCCATTCTAGCTCTCTGCTGTGGCCCGGGAACGCAGTGGAGGATGGCCCAAGTGCTTGGGCCTTGCACCCGTATGGGAGACCAGGAGGAAGCACCTGGCTCCTGGCTTTGGATCAGCACCGTGCGCCGGCCATTGTGGGGGTGAACCAACAGAAAAGGAAGACCTTTCTCTCTGTCTCTCTCTCTCACTGTCCACTCTGCCTGTCAAAAAAAAATTAAAAAATAAAAAAAAGAAATACTGGCTCCATCACTTTCTCCCTGTGTGTATTCAGTTTCCTCATGTCTGTGTATGGAAATATTATAATTTACTCCAAGATTGCCTGAGGACATTTTTAAAAATTAAACAAGATAGTACTCATTAATGCAGTGCAGTTTTCTTGCTCTAGGTCTTTCTTTTCCCCTTCTCTGTCTCAGGAGAATGCTTCTGGTTATATCTCTCTGCACACACCAGATCTGTGAAGCACATAAGGGTTACTTGAGTGTTTAATTATTTTGTTAGTGCTGCTCAAAATGCATCTGTGGTTCACGCTTGGATCTTAGCCCCTTATGACTGAGACTTGCTATCTGCCTTCCTGCACTTCTGATCCTTTGCCTGGCTCTGAATTATTACTACCTGGAGTGGGCATTTCTCAATTTTTGTACATGCACAATTCCCTACTTCTGATTCTCCCTACAACTGGTAGCATCATCTTGCATTTCCTTGCTAACCCATGAATGTAACCCATTCAGTTCTTATGGTTTGAAGGACCCTGGCCGGTCACAGCAACTCATTGTCTTGGTTGAAGCCATTGGGTCTAGGATGATGTACACATGCTTAGATTTAAAGAAAAAAATTGCACTAAAATACCTTTTAATTCCATTTTCTGCAAACTCTTTGAGGTACCTTCATACAATGTGAGTGAGCTGAAGTTGCCAGAAGCCATCATTAAGGAAGCCTCAGGCTATTATTACTGAAGTTCCTGGCTAAGAATGAAATCAGTGCATTCAAGCACAAGGGGTCTTCATAAAGTTTGTGGAAAGTTTATTGTGAAAAAACTATGTATGAATTTCAAAAATTTTTGGCACCATAATAAAACTTACCTATTAACTCCATTTCTCCATGAACTTGTTGTATCTTGTATAATCAAAAGACAATAACTGGGCTGGCGCCATGGCTCACTTGGCTAATCCTCCACCTGCAGCACTGGCACCCCGGGTTCTAGTCCTGGTTGGGGCACTGGGTACTAGTCTCGATTGCTCCTCTTCCAGTCCAGCTCTCTGCTGTGGCCTGGGAGGGCAGCAGAGGATGGCCCAAGTGCTTGGGTTCCTGCACCTGCATGGGAGATGGGGAGGAAGAACCTGGCTCCTGGCTTCAGATCAGCACAGCACCGGCCGTGGCGGCCATTAGGGGAGTGAATCAACGGAAGGAAGACCTTTCTCTCTGTCTCTCTCTCACTGTCTATAACTCTACCTGTCAAATAAAAAAAAAGACAATAACAAAAATCACCTTTCTGAGGACTTTTTTGATCATCTAGATCCAATACCCAGAACCAGTAGACCTACTACTGCATATTTCCATATATAAGCCAATGAATTCATTTCTTTTCTCCTTGAGTCTTTTTTGGTTTTTCTAACTCCCACAATGCCAACCAATTCAGTCTTTTGACAAATGTCATTTAGTTCTGATTACCTCCCTAAACAAAAGTTCCAGCTTTATTGTCAACATGAATAATTGAGATTATTATGTCAGTATGAACGCACCTACCTTCTTAAATTTGTTACATCGATGATAATTGTGACAATGTACCCTGTACTTCATGATTATTTTATGCCCTGAAGCATGTGGATTCAGATACATTGACTCTTCCATTTCCCTACTACTTTTGAAAGGCATTGTCTGTAAGTGCTTCCTCTCACAATCTCATTGTACTACCACTAATGGTAATAACAGAAACAATATAGATAGAATTTATTAAGAATCTACTAAGTATCTGCACCATTAATGGGTTGTATTTAGTGGGCTCCAATTATCATTTTTTAAAAATGAAATACAATGTAAAATAATGTATGAGATTAGAAAGGCAGATAATTAAAAAGAACATATCAGGATGCATCCAAGATAGCAAAAATATTTACTGGTTTGCAAATTTCTATTTCCATTTGCAGTGTGTGTCCAGGTATAAATGTAAGTACTTATTTGCATTATGAAGCCTATTTTAAAATAGGGGTTTTGATGAAAAGAATAATTTGTCCAAAGTCATAGTAATAGACCCATCTGATTATCAGCTTATGGTCAAAACCATATGCCACTTAGAGATAAGGAAATGAAATTCAGAGAATATGGGCAAAATGATAATTCCTGCCATATAGAATTGTAAGGATTAAGTCAGATAATGTAATTGCCCTGTATGTAGTAGAGCATAACAAAAGAATATTAAGCAACCTTGAAAGTCATTTTTTCCATGCAACCATATATTATGGGCAGATTTCTATTTCCTTAAATAATCTTTTACAATTTAAATGGCTATAATGTATTCTTCTGCTTGTGTTTGCAATTACTTATTGCTCACACAATCTTATACTGTGAGACATTTAGGTTATTTACATTTCATTTTTACCACTTAAAATAGCATTTAACAGCTTATGGCAAAATCCACACATAAACATTTCCATAGATTAAATTCTGAGAAGGGGAATAGCCAAGTCAAAAGGTATCCATATTGTAAACTTCAGCAAGTTTATACTAACTTAAACTTTCTCTAAGACTGGCATCAACTAAAATGAAGCATTATTTGTCAGTTTTACCCTAACTTAAAAATCCATTTGTAGGGCAAGTAACTGCTGTCATGGTATGACCAAAGAACAGCAATTTTGGCTTCATGTAAACCTCATCAGAGTATCCCCATGTCTGTTCCTCAGTTCCCTTTCTCTTCTCATTCCTCCCTTTGTCTCTGTTTTATTTCTCTTTCTAGAGCAGTCTGTTTCCTCACATAAATAACTAGTTTTGCCAGTCCTGGAAGCATTCCCCTGAACCCTAATCAGGTCTATTTCCTGATGCACAGAAGTTCAGCAGAATCCTATTCTGTTCTCCAAACACAATCATACTAGGGTGCAATAATGATGACTGCTTTAGCAGAATCTGATAAATATTAGGTGCAAGTATCCAATACTCTTTCCCGTTATCCTTTTTCTTTTAACAGCAACTATTTCTCATTCCTTTGTTTTGGGATACATCTCCCCAACTCCACATGGTTCAATTGAGGGCCCTCCATCATGGTAACTCATCAACATAACTCGTTTTTTTCCTTAATAGTTGGAAACAAGACCTAATCAGGACTTACATTAGCACCATATTCTTCCAGACATAGAAACTGGTCCAAAAATCAGAAACAGGTAACAAGAGACAATCTGAGTCTCTCTCTGAGACAAACATGTAGATTTTCAGAGAATTAGTCGTGTGATTACTAAATAACTATTATGAAACCTGGTGCTGCTGACATTCATTGCTCCATCTGCACAGAAGAAATTCTTTGCTCCACAGAGAAGGAGGCTATTACACCAAACAGAAATAGGCCGATTAAGAGAGTTGATGATGTCATGAGACCTCCATCTCATAGTGCTTGACGTCAATGCCACCGATGGACTTCTGATTTCAAAAAAGTAATAACCAATGGACTCCTGAGGGAAAAACTATAAAAAGGTTTTTGATTATGTAAAATTAGATTTTTTCTGCCTGTAGTAATTAAACATCTTGATTGGCACAGTTATAAAATGAGCAATATTAATAATATTCAGTTGAGCTCAGAGGAGGGAGTCGTAAAGGAATATTATATGGTAACAGGGCAGGAATCAGGCTGAGTTACAAAAGTATGTAAATAATAATAGTTGCAAGAAGATGATCAAGGCAAAATGCTTCTCAGAAACTTGTTTATTTGTAAAGGTAACATAATGAATTGAAATAAAAGAGGCAGAATGAGACAGCCACCTACCATAACCAAACCACATCATTTCTTTGGGAACCTCATTTCTTCATCTGAAAATAAATAGCTTAGTTAGTTTGATTCTAGTACAATACCCAAAAAAGGTATTGTACTCGAATCTGTATGTCTAGGAAAAGCTGTTTGCTGATTGGCTTAGGCCTGGATTACTGTCTACTGAAGTAGGCAAAGGGAATATTACACTGCAGGTAGAAGTGCAATTAGTTCCACCCAAACCACATGGTAATTACACATTAGAGAATGACAGGGGCCGGCGCTGTGGCATAGCAGGTAAAGCCGCCTCCTGCAGTGTCGGCATCCCATATGGGCGCCAGTCCGCGTCCTGGCTGCTCCTCTTCCCATCCAGCTCTATGCTCTGGCCTGGGAAACAGTAGAAGATGGCCAAGTCCTTGGGCCCCCACACCTGCATGGGAAATCTGGAAGAATTTCCTGGTTCCTGGCTTCGGATCTGCACAGCTCCGGCAGTCGTGGACAACTGGGGAGTGAACCAGTGGATGGAAGACCTCTCTCTCTCTACCTCTCCTTCTCTCTCTGTGTAACTCTGACTTTCAAATAAATAAATAAATTTTTTAAAAAAGAGAGAGAAGGCCGGCACCGTGGCTCACTAGGCTAATCCTCCGCCTTGCGGCGCCGGCACACCGGGTTCTAGTCCCGGTCGGGACGCCGGATTCTGTCCCAGTTGCCCCTCTTCCAGGCCAGCTCTCTGCTGTGGCCAGGGAGTGCAGTGGAGGATGGCCCAAGTCCTTGGGCCCTGCACCCTATGGGAGACCAGGAGAAGCACCTGGCTCCTGCCATCGGATCAGCGCGGTGCGCCGGCCGCAGCGCACCAGCCGCAGCAGCCATTGGAGGGCGAACCAACGGCAAAGGAAGACCTTTCTCTCTGTCTCTCTCTCTCACTGTCCACTCTGCCTGTCAAAAAAAGAAAGAAAGAAAAAAGACCTTTCTCTCTGTCTCTGTCTCTCTCTCTCACTAACTCTGCCTGTCACAAAATAAATAAATAAATAAAAAAGAGAGAGATGGCTGGCTCCACGGCTCACTTGGCTAATCCTCCACCTGCAGTGCTGGCACCCCAGGTTCTAGTCCCGGTTGGGGCACCGGATTCTGTCCTGGTTGCCCCTCTTCCAGTCCAGCTCTCTGCTGTGGCCCAGGAAGGCAGTGGAGGATGGCCCAGGTGTTTGGGCCCTGCACCAGCAGGGGAGACCAGGAGGAAGCACCTGGCTCCTGGCTTCGGATCAGCACAAATGGCCGTGGCGGCCATTTGGGGGGTGAACCAATAAAAGGAAGACCTTTCTCTCTTCTCTCTCTCTCTCTCTCTCTCTCTGTCTGTCTAACTCTGCCACTCTGCCTGTCCAAAAAAAAAAGAGAGAGAGAGAGAATGACAAAATAGATATATAGGACACACCTACAATGACCACAAGGATTTTAAAAGACATCTGTGTTTGCCCCAATATCACCATTTTAATGGTTGATGCAGCCAATGAACATTTCATAAAATTAATCTAGATTATGGGTTACTAGAGCTTTATACACTTCCTTCCCTTCTGAATATCTGAGCCCCTCTGGAGCAACTCTTAGGACACGAGTCTCATACTTTGTAAGCACAGATTGATTTTGTTAGGACCATACGTTGTTGGTACACAAAATATTTTTAAAAGCTCAACTTAGTTGCAAATGTTTAAAATATTAGGAGATTTCTACATTTAAGGAATCTGGATTTCTGGTTTCTCTTGACTCAGAAGCGCTCTCTGGCAACAGCTGAGCACACATTCCCACATGGCAACAATGGACTGGAGCTGAGCATCAGTTGCTTCATTCAGACATGATATGCAATTTCCAGATTTCTGCAGCCTGTGTAGACGAGTTTGCACATGTAGGTTATCTTTTGCCTCTAGAGGCTGGTGAGCTTGTGAGTATTGTCTTAGGGCCCGGTTATGAACTTGCCACCCACTATGCTCATGCACAGAATATGGTAACAATTGAGTTCACCAACCCTGGACTCCATATGGCAAAACAGCTGTAAATTGTGGCTAAGAAGTAATTGCTTAGTCAAGAGCTACTTCCCAGAAATCTCTTCTGCAGAGTCAACTGAACACTCAATGCAGCACAGAAAACTACAGAAAATGGAAAATTCCTCTTTCTCCTTCATTAGGGATTAAAAGATTCAGTAAGAACTTTTTTAAAAGGGCAAATTCTAATCACCGCCTCATTAAATATGAGTAGAAAAAAGGCAATGAATAAAAGGAAGAAAAGTTCAAAGGAAAGGGATTATTCTGAAGGACCATAAAAAATATCCAAGGAGTAAGCTCACTCCGAGAAACCAAAAAATTCTGTCTTAATCTCTATAAGTTTGAAAAAGATATTTGTTTCTATTAGATGAGTACATTCCAAGGCCAGAAAACATTTTATCTTTTTTAAAGATTTATTTTATTATTTGAAAAGGTTACAGAGAGAGGTAGAGGTGAAGAGAGAGAGAGAGAGACAGAGAGAGAGAGAGAAGGGAGGGAGGGAGGTCTTCCAACCAATGGTTCACTCCCCAAATGGCCATAATGGTTGGAGCTGAGCTGATCTGAAGCAGGGAGCCAGGAGTTTCTTCTGGGTCTCCCACATGGGTGCAGCGACCCAAGGACTTCGGTCATCCTCCTCTGTTTTCCCAGGCACATTAGCAAGGAGCTGGACTGGAAGTGGAGTAGTTGGGAATCAAACCGGCACCCATATGGAATGCCTGCACTACAGGCTGGGGCTTTAACCCTCTGTGTCATAGCACTGGCCCCAGAAAATAGTTTAACGGATGGAAAAACAACTGCGGAATTATCTTGATCCTTTTTTTAAAAGATTTTATTTATTTATTTGAAACGTAGAGTTTCAGACAGTGAGAGGGAGCGACAGAGAGAAAGGTCTTCTATCTGCTGGTTCACTCCCCAGATGGCCACAATGGCCAGAGCTGTGCCAATCCAAAGCCAGGAACCAGGAGCTGCTTCCAGGTCTCCCACACAGGTGCAGGGGCCCAAGTACTTGAGCCATCTTCTGCTGCTTTCCCAGCCGTAGCAGAGAGCTGGATTGGAAGAGGAGCTTCTGAGACTAGAACCGGCTCCCACATGGGATACCAGCACTGCAGGCAGATTAACCTACTGTGCCACAGCGTCAGCCCCTGATCTGTTTTTAAAGTCAGATTTACTGAGGCACACAACTCACTTAGAGTAAAATTCACCCATTTTAGTGTACAGTCTCCATAACAAGCATATACAGTTATGTAAGCACCACCACAATCAAGAACACATCACCCCAAACTGCTCCCTTTATCCCAACTGCAGTCTCCTCTCCCCAGATCCAGACCCCTAGAAATCACTGACCTTTTACTATCACTTTAGTTTTGCTTTTTCCACAATACGCTCATATACCCTTTTGTATTTGGCTTCTTTTACTTACAAATCCCTTCTCATATTCATTCAAGTGGTTGCATGTACAAGAAGTTTGTTCTATTGTGTTGAATGAATTGCTATGATTTGTTTACCCACTCACCCACTGATGGAAATTTGAATTACTTCCAGTTTGGGACTATTATGAATAAAACTATTATAAATATTTATGTACATGTCTTCTTGGTATTGTGCATTTATTTCTTTTGATTTAATGCTTAGGAGCAATATTGCTGAGTCATATAGTGTGTGCTGAACTTTACAAGAAACTCCCATATTGCTTTCCACCAGCAACTTAGGACAGTTCAATTGCTCACAGCTTTGTCAGTACTTAGTATTGTCAGTCTGCCATTCCCGTCGGTATGTAGTGGTACCTCAGTGTGGTTCTCATTTGAATTTCTCTGACTAATGGTGTAGAACAATTTTTTGTGTATTATTTGCCAATGTATTTCTTTTTTTGTTAAATGTCTATTCAAAATTTTTGCCCATATTTCTGAAGTATCTCTATATATCAATTAATTTATACATTCTGGATAAATGCCCCTCATTAAATACCTGTTTTGCAAATGTGTATGGGTATACTCTAATAGCATAAACAGTTTTGAACAGATTCAAAAGCAGCCAGAATTTTTTTTTTTTTAAGATTTATTTTACTTATTTGAAAGGCAGAGTTACAGAGAAAGAGAGAGAGAGAGAGATCTTCCATCTACTGGTTCACTCCCCAAATGGCCATAATGTCTGGAACTAGACCAGGTCAAAGCCAGGAGCCAGGAGCTTCTTTCAGGTCTCCCACATGGGTGCAGGGGCTCAAGGACTTGAGCCATTTTCCATTGCTTTCCCAGGTGCATTAGCAGGGAACTGGATCAGGAGTGAGGCAGCCAGTTCTCGAACCAGTAACCATATGGGATGCCAACATCCAAGGCAGAGGCTTAACCCATTGCACCACAACACTGTCCCCAATCACAAAATTTTAAATTGCATTAGCAGTAATGAAAAATCTATTGGGGCTGGCACTGTGGCTTAGCGGGTAAGGCTGCCACTTGCAGTGCCAGCATCCCATATGGGCGCAGGTCGGAGTCCCGGCTGCTCTACTTCCAATCCAGCTCTGCTGAGTCCTGGGAATGCAGTGAAAGATGGCCCAAGTCCTTGGGCCCCTGCACTCGTGTGGGAGACCTGGAAGAAGCTCCTGTCTCCTGGTTTCAGATCGGCACAGCTCCGGCCGTTGGAGCCATCTGGGGAGTAAACCAATGGATGGAAGACCTCTCTGTCTCTGTCTCTGCCTCTGCCTCTTTGTAACTCTGCCTTTCAAATAAATAAACAAATCTTTAAAAAAAAAAAAAACTATTAGTATCTAATAGAAAACAATGATTCAGAAAGTTTTTCAAGAAACTCTCCTAGACCTTAAAGTGGAAGGACTAAGGCCTGGCACTGGGAACAAAAGATAAGAAACTTACCTTTATAATTAAATTAATACTAGTAGAAGAAACTATCCTCGAACACAGAGAGCTTGTCATTCGTCAAAGTGCAAAGGCACACAGAGTTCCTGGAAAATTAAATTAATTTCAAGGATAAAGAAAAAATTCCTAAAACATTCAAGTGGGGAGAAAAAAAAAAGGTTATTCACTATGGGATGTGGGGGTGGGTTTGGGGGAAAGAAAAGAAGGGAAGGGAAGAGGAGGGGAGAGGAGGGGAAGGGAGGGGAGGGGAGGGAACTGACCTTAAATGCATCTTCTACAATTCCAAGTGCCTCCACCAAAAAAAAAAAAAAAAAAAATAGGAGCATTTTCTACAGTTGCCGCTGGCCCATTAGTGAGTCATAAAAACAATTCAGTAGATTGTACCCAGCATTTATTTTTAAGTAGAATAGAATAGCAGTATAAAAGTGCCTAGAGGCTGGTGTTGTTTAGGGACTGGCACAGCAGGTTAAGCAACCTGCCATGCCACCACCAAATCTTGGTGATTTAAAACAAAATTTAGCTCACAGTTATAGGCAGGCATTGCTTGGCAGATCTTCCAGCTCTATATCTTTTCCGGGGCTGCCATCAAGATGACCCCTGGGACTGTGGTCCTTCTAAGGTTCAACTGGGTCTGGACCAAGTTCTAAGCTCTCCCAGACGGTCATTGGCAGGATTCAGTGCATTGCGTGCCACTGGACTGAGGGTCTCCGTTCCCCCAGGAGCTGTAGACCAGCAGCCTCCAGCAAACAGCTCCTTGCCATGTGGAGTCACTGGCTAAGAAGCACTGAAGCAGTAGCTGAATATTTCACATCACATCTGGCAATGCTGACTCAGTAAGTTCTGGACTCCAGAACTTGTCTGCAACTTTGCTTAGAAGTCGTGCCTAAATAGCTGCTGCTCCTCAATAGTGTAAAAAGTATAAAAGTAGTCATCTAAAGAGAAAAGAATATGAAAATAATTTTATTAAATTATGAGTAACAACCTAACACTATTGCAATAACTTGTATCCTACAGATGGAGAAATAATACTTGATTATATAAGTATAATTTTTAAGGCTTTATTGTGCAAGATTTCAAGCATAAACAAACACGAAAGGAGAATAATGTTATTACCCCTCACATGTCATCATTCAGTTTTGATAATTATCAACATTTTTACCAATCACATGTCAATTGTTCTCTTTTTTGGTTAAAAATACATATTCCAAAAGTATAAATGGCATTTTGATACTGATAAATGGTATTCAAAATGATTTTTAAAAAATTCAAGGTCATTAAGTATGTTTTTGTTAAATGTCTGCTATATGTAAAGTATCTAGGAAAATATACTATGATACAAGTTGAATACAGTCTTCCAAACAACATTAATGAGTAATTTAATTTCTGTGGTAAATAACATGCCATAAAAATATATATAATGGGGCCGGCACTGTGGTATAGCGGGTAAAGCCGCTACCTGGATTGCCAACATCCCACATGGATGGTTCGAGTGCCTGCTGCTCCACCTCCGATCCAGCTCTCTGCTATGGCCTGGGAAAGCAATGAAAGATGGCCCAAGTCCTCGGTTCCCTGCACCCACATGGGAGACCTTGAAGAAGCTCCTGGCTCCTGGCCTCGGATCAGCACAGCTCCGGCCATTGCGGCCAACTGGGGAGCAAACGAGCGGATGGAATACCTCTCTCTTTGCCTCTCCTTCTCTCTGTGTGTAACTCTGCCTTTCAAATAAATAAACAAATCTTTAAAAATATATATGTAATAAAATCTGGTCAGGGATTATAGTAACATATCAAAAATCAAAAACATTAATTTCTCTCTTTCACAAAGCAAGTTAGCGAATAAATATAGTTAGAAATAATTACACAATTTGAAGGTTTAATAAATATATATTTTGAGCTTCTTATCACAGTCTGTAGTCACATTCTTTTCAAAAATCCATGAAACATTTTGCAAAATGTAAAAGAAGTCTTAGAAAGTTCCAAACGGTGCCAACTAGTAAAGACACACTTTTGTGAGCGCAATAGAAGAAAAGTAAATATTTGCAAAGCAGAAAAATGCAAATAAAACATACAAGATCATGTATTAACTGAAAGTAACATGTACATAACTATAAGCATTAATAACAAACTAATTATAAAATAGCAGTAACCTATAAGCATGACAACACATCAGAAGTATACATCTGTCCTCAGAACAAAACACATAGCTTCAATTATTTTCATTATTCAATAAGAATTACCGAACAAGTGTACACCAATTATCTATTATTGCTTCTTCATGCCACCAAATTCACCCTTTTTTATTGCTCTGTTGAAACAGATCTGGGCCCTTTGATTTCTTTTTCTTTTTTCCCAGCCAGCACTGACAGTTTATCGATAGAGTGCCTGAGACACATTACAGCAGGAAAGTTGTTTTGCATCCTGGTCCTGGTGTACTTACTTGGCAGGCTTCTACAACCGAATGGGTGGCTTTATGTAGCACTAAGCGTCTGCAGCCCTCGTGCATGGAACCCAGAAGCACCCGGAGTTGTGCAGCCTGCCTCTTGGCAGTGCTTGTGGCTTCTCTAATGCCAGGCTCCTGGAGTATTCTCAGCTTCTTCAGCGCTCAGATCCTACACTGCACCGTGGACAGTGACAGTGTAAACAAGAGTATAGATAGAATCCAGGCAAAAGGGGAGCACTGGAACACAGGCAAAGAATCTCAAACAGTTCACTTGTTGGAGCTTGTTTATCAGGGGCTGTTCCAGGAAAGCTCGTCTTGCCACATTGCACTCGGATTGGGCCAGATCACAAGCCAAGGAGAGCTGGGAGAAACCAGTCTGAGTCAGAGTTTTGGCCCCACAATGTACACAGATGTATATTGCAAGCAGGAAGGGCTCTGTGGCTGCCCAATCTCTGTATCTTGGACACGCCCTTATCCTTCGATATAAAAGCCCTACTTCTGGACACATTGCTGATGATTTCCACCAATGCAGACCCAGAAGCTACCACTGAGTGAGTTAAAGGGGACCCTCTTCAACAAGGTCTGGCCCTCAGAACTGGAGTGGAGCACCCTAGGGGTGGGATCTTCTTGCTTGGATGCTCCATCTCAATCCCAAGAGGGGTGACTGCTCCTTATATTTGCTGTTCCTTTCTTTCTTGTTCTCCTTATTCTTCTTACTAGCTAATCCTAAATTACTTTTTAAAAAATTTATTTATTTATTTGAAAGAGTTACACAGAGAGAGGAGAGGCAGAGAGAGAGAGAGAGAGAGAGAGAGACTTCCATCTGATGGTTCACTCCCCAATTGGCCGCAACGGCCGGAGCTGCGCCGATCCAAAACCAAGAGCCAGGAGTTCTTCCGGGTCTCCTAGGTGGGTGCAGGGGCCAAGGACTTGGGCCATCTTCCACTGCTTTCCCAGGCCACAGCAGAAAGCTGGGTTGGAAGAGGAGCAGCCAGGACTAGAACCGGCGCCCATATGGGATGCCGGCACTGCAGGAGGAGGATTAACCTACTGTGCCATGGTGCCAGCTCCCTGAATTTCTTTAATTCCTTGTATTAGTTAACAATTTTTTTATATCAAACCTTCCCTGTTCAAATAATTATGTAGTTTATCTCTTTATTAGATTCAGACTGATACAAATAATTGAATTCAAATTTCTTTTTTAAGAAAAAGATTAAAGCAAGCAAAGAGAAAATAGAAGATATTTACTGGGGCCGGAGCTGTGGCACAGTGGGTTAAAGCGCTGGCCTGAAACGCCGGCATCCCATGTGGGCTTTAGTTCCAGCTGTTCCTTTTCCAATCCAGCTCTCTGCTATGGCCTGGGAAAGCAGTAGATGGCCATTTGGGGGGTGAACCAACGGAAGGAAGACCTTTCTCTCTGTTTCTCTCTTTCTCTCACTGTATAACTCTGCCAAATAAATTTAAAAAAAAAAAAAAAGCTCATAGAAAATGTGTACTTTGAAAAACCAAAGCCTGTCTTTCAAAATTGTTGAAGTATCTCTGTATTCAATTAACTGCTTTAATCACCTCTGTTTCTAAAGTCAATTACATTTTCTATCCTATATTTAATAAATAACATTTGTATACTCTCTAAGATTTATTTATTTGAAAGGCAGAGTTACAGAGAGAGAACACACACACACACAGAGAGAGAGAGAGAGAAAGAGAGAGAGAGAGAGAGAGAGAGAGAGAGAGAGAGAGAGAGAAAGAGAGAGAGAGAGAGAGAGAGAGATCTTCCATTCTCTAGTTTACTCCCCGGATGGCCACAATGGCAAGGGCTGAGTCAGGCCGAAGCCAGGAGCCAGGATTTTCATCTGGGTCTCCTACATGGTAGCAGGGGCCCAAACTTTCGGCCATCTTCTGTGCTTTTCTCAGGCCATCAGCAGGGAGCTGGATCTTAAGTGGAGGAGCAGGGACATGAACTGGCACCTACATGAGAAACCAGTGTGACAGGTGGTGTCTTTAACCACTATGCCACAAGGCTGGCCCCTGCATTTGTATACTCTTATTCATTTAACATTGCCATACAAATGTGTGTATTAAATTTGGGATTAATTCTCAAATGCTTCTTCTAAGAATTTTTGATTTTCCTTTTTCTAACTTAACTTGTTTCTGCTTTTATCTTTAGTAAATATCTTCTTTAAAAAAAAGATTTATTTTATTTATTTGAAATAAATTACAGAGAGAATTACAGAGAGAGGTAGAAAGAGAGAGAGGTTTTCCATCCGCTGGTTCACTCCCCAGATGGCTGCAACGGCTGGAGCTGCGCCAATCCGAAGCCAGGAGCCAGGAGCCTCCTCCAGGTCTCCCATGTGGGTGTAGGGGCCCAAGCACTTGGGCCAACCCCCACTGCACTCCTGGGCGACAGCAGAGAGCTGGACTGGAAGAGGAACAGCAGAGACTAGAACCCAGTGCCCATATGGGTTGCCGGCACCGCAAGCGGAGGATTAACAAAGTGAGCCACGGCACTGGCCCCTTCTATGAGCTTTTTTAAAAGACCCCTTGTATGCATGGATTTCAAAAGCAAATTTGCACCAAAATAAATTTATCTTTTAATTATGTTCTCTAGAAATTTCGAAGTACATTCACATTAATAAAAAATACAGGCCTTAAAAACCAAGATGACTAAGGCAGTTAAGAGAATTAAATGAATCTTGGAAAATATAAAAGCCAACTGAAGAAAAGCTATAAAATTTGAATACATAAATAACCCTGAAAGAGCTCCTAATGAAAACAGACTGGCTCAGGCAGTTCCTCTGTACAGTTTTCTAGCTTTCAAAAGCAAAAACAAAAAGGTGAGTCTTGTGCTATTTAAATTGATTCAGAGGGTAGAGAAAGAAGAAAAGAATCCTACTCCTTGGAAATCCTTTCTAAGTCTCACAATGAAGTAAGACAGTAACACCCTAAAATTAAAAGAGTTGACAAAAATAAAGCAACTGGTTAAACTGACTTATACAGTAAGAAGAAAGGAGGAAGAACACCATTATCTGTTGAGGTCCATATTAAAAATGCCGAAACACAGACATACTTCTTCACCATAAGTGTCTCTGAGAAAACCTGGGCAATTTTCTTCTAATAATAATAGAGTGGGACAGGAATTTCAGAGTATGACATAAAGTACTGAAACAATTAATTGGGATTTCTAGAGCAATGAGCATAAAAATATAGTAAAGACTATAACAAGTTAGAAAAACATTCTCAAGATACATAATGAGCAAAAGGCTACTTTATTCTAGATATTTAGTGCTTACACTGAATTAGAAACACATCAACCACCAACATAAAAATGCACAAAGGATATGAAGAATTTGTGCTTGAAAACTGTGTATATAACTCATATATACACACATGTGTGCATCAGAGTTTTAGTCAGGGAAATATCCTCTTTCTTACTTATTCAAATTTCCTTTATCATGTTCTCAGGAAAGCTTTAATATGCACAATTTGATGCTCAATATTAATATCCCCTTTATTCATGTGGAAATACTAAGATTTTCTTTGAACAAATCACATTTGCATTTGAAAAAGTTAATATTATCCAAAATCAATATAAAATTTCCTCAAAGTAAGGTATAAGGGTCAAATGCATCAAAATCACTTGGATGCACTGTAAAATTCAGATTTATGGGCACTTGAGAATTACTCATGTGAATACATGCAGTGTGTTCAAGAGTTTTGTCAATGTTCCTAATTGACTGTGATGAGTTCTTTATATATTTTAGCTACTAGTCCTTTGTCATCTGTGTTCCAAATATTTTCTCCCAATCTGATGCTTGTCTTTTCATTATTTATGGTATCATTTATTGTTTTTTAAAAATAACATAGTTATAATGAAGTTTCTATTCTTAAAAAAATGAATGATTTATTGTTTCATTTTAAGACACTTAGATAATGATTATTCATACAATAGAGATTATACATTATATGCCATATGTTTCTGTACTGTATGAATTTTTACAGTGATCATATATCTCTTCTTTCAACAAATATTCTTTAATTGCCCAAAATACACCAAGAATTGCTCTAGTTCCTACAGATCCATTATTGACCAAGAGACAAAGACTGCTTGCCTAATGGAATTTATAAGAGGAAATTCAATATTGCTTTTATTTTAAAAATATAAAGACTGCTATTTCATTTTTTAAATTTTTATTTAGTAAATATAAATTTCCAAAGTACAGTTTATGGACTACAATGGCTTTCCCCCCCATAACTTCCCTCCCACCCGCAACCCTCCCATCTCCCGCTCCCTCTCCCATTCCATTCACATCAAGATCCATTTTCAATTATCTTTATATACAGAAGATCAATTTAGTATATATTAAGTAAAGATTTCAACAGTTTGCACCCACACAGAACATAAAGTGTAAATACTGTTTGAGTACTAGTTATAGCATTAATTCACATTGAACAACACATTAAGGACAGAGATCCTACATGAGGAGTAAGTGCACAGTGATTCCTGTTGTTGACTTAACAAACTGATACTCTTGTTTATGGTGTCAGTAATCTCCCTAGGCTCTTGTCATGAGTTTACAAGGCTATGGAAGCCTTTTGAGTTCGCCAACTTCGATCTTATTTAGACAAGGTCATAGTCAAAGTGGAAGTTCTCTCATCCCTTCAGAGAAAGGTACCTCCTTCTTTGATAGCCTGTTATTTCATTTTATCAAAAAAAGAAAGACTGCTACTTCTGCCAAATTTTAATTTTGAACTTTTAGATATCGGTACATAAAACAACATGGTACAGAATTCAGAATAAACATTACAAAACAGAGCAAATGTTTTTCATCAAATGTTACAATTTGTCACTGAGTTTAGCAGCAAATTTTCTAAAAAAAAAAAAAAAAAAGCTTAATGAAATGTCAGACCCTAGGTCTTTCTTGAATAGAGGTAGATAATGCAAAACCATAGGAAAAAAAATTGTTTAAAAACACCTGTTGCAATGAGCCATCTTAAATTAAAGATACAGGTAATTTAAACCTGAGTCAGATTCTGGACTGTGTTTGTCTATTATCATTATATTTAAATTTCATTTTGAGTCAGTAATGTACAGATATTAAAAGAAGCCAGTGAGTACACAGGATGTGTGCAGTGCACGTTCCCCTCCATGATCCATTCCCCCAAGGGAAGCCATAATTAGTAGTTTCTTGTGCGTCCATCAGGAGGTGTTCAGTCATGGATAAATTCAAGGGGATCATGTGTTCCTTCTATGTCTTGGTTATTTTGCACTGCTGGGTTAAGTTAGCAGCATGAGCTGCAGAGCTGGGAACAAGAGGCTGTGATTTGGATTGGAAACAAAGTGACAGCCTCTTCCAAGCTCAGAACTGGGCTAGGTGAAATTGACTGGCAGGGCTTACACAAAGCCTCTACACTGCCAAGCCGGTTACCCATGCTGGTGCAGACAGCCAGGGGATTGCTTGGTGCTGTATGGAGGTGGCACTTTCAACTACTTCCTTTGCCTGTCAGTCTCTCAGTTTAGGCTTTCTGAGTGTACCTTTCCATTAGCTCCTGTATGACCAGAATGTTGGTCTCTTGGGCTTCCATCTCCTTCACAGATCCAATAGCCAGTGAGCTGTGAAACGTATCTTTCTTAGGTCCCTAATTTCTGTGGCCTCAGAGAGATCAAGGTAATATACATGATGCATATTTTACATATATTCTTCTGCTCTGCACTACAAAAGTCTCTTCAATAGGCTGCAGATTTATCAAATAAAAATACTGGATGCCCAGTGAAATTTGAATTTCAGATAAACAAAGAATATTTGTTAGTGTAGAATATCCAATGCAATCTTTCATCTACATTTAATTGGCCAACAGTATTCCAAAACCAGTTGAGCAGTTAAACAATCCTTCTAATCTGCATGCCTTTGCCCTAAAAACAAAATTCTAATCCTCCCTTCAATGCCTGTGGCCCATGCACAGCAAAACGTCTCACCAATTTCAAAACTGGGTATTTGGTGTAGTCTTGGGCCAGTGTAGGAAGCATTTCAAAGTGGTTGCTAGGTGGCAGAGCTCAACTCTGGAAAGCATTTTTGAAATTCTATTAGTATTGCCGGGTAAGGGTAAGTTGGTAGTGAGCCTAAATGTATATGGTTTAAATAGCTCTATTCTGTTGCTATTTTTTTCTTCCAATTTAAAATCTGTGACAAAACTGAGTTTAAATAACATGTCTAAAAAGCTTTGTCTTTGAGCCAAATGCCAGAATATCTAAGTAAACACAGAAGTGAGTAATCACAGGTTTACTTTATTTCAGCTATTCTACCCTGTTGGAGTTTTGAGAGAGGTAGGTCTGGATTTATTCCACACAAATCTGGGCAGGAGAAAACTTGAAAGTACCGGCCTGTCTTAAGTATCCCCACATGATTCCTGATACAATTTTATGTAGAAAATGGAGTGTTCACAACAGAATTTTTTCTATCTTGAGTCCTTTTGCAAACACCAAATTCTTCACACAAAAGGAACAGTGTGATCTATTCAAATACCTCTTTGTTCACTTTACTTAGCAAACATCAGGAAATGAGAGTCGTGGTTCTACACGCTGTCTTGTTCATCCAGAGAAAGAGTGGGATCTAGGAAAGGAGAGAAAAGAAGGAAAATAGACAATGGAAAGTCACCCCCAAAAGAAAAGTGATAGTGATGGTTTTCATAGCATCTGTAACCAATTTCCCCAAAATGAGTTAGACCTTTGCTAAGAGCGAAGGTGATCTCACCATAAGATTGCATTAAAGGCACCACTCCTAATTAAATGTAACAGAATGAAACCATACCTTCGCTTTTTTTTAACAGAATATTAATTCATCTTTTTTTGACTACCTCTGTCCCAAGCATGGAGGGATGAAGACAAAGGAAAGAATTATGGGGGCCGGCGCTGTGCCATAGCAGGCAAAGCCACCGCCGAAGTGTGGGCATCTCATATGGGTGCCAGTTTGAGCCTCAGCTGCTCCGTTTCCAATCCAGCTCTCTGCTATGGCCTGGAAAGGTAGTGGAAGATGGCCCAAGTCCTTGGGCCCCTGCACTCATGTGGGAGACCTGGAAGAAGCTCCTGGCTCCTGGCTTCGGATTGGCACAGCAGCAGCTGTTGGGGCCATCTGGGGAGTGAACCAGTGGATGGAAGACCTCTGTCTGCCTCTCCTTCTCTCTCTGTGTAACTCTGTAAATAAATAAATCTTTTTTAAAAAAAAGAATTATGGATAATTTATGACTGAAACTCTTGTCGTGTGCCTGGGTCCAAACTCTTGTCTCTGACACAAGAAAGAATTAAAGGATGAGACATGGGTAAATGTTAGTGAATAAGAATTCCTGGCTGGGAATGCAACAGCACATACTTGAGAGAGAGTGCACCATGTTTGAGAGAGAGCTGTACCCAACAGGATTTAGGGTTATCTCTTTATATAGTCTAGAGGAATTGGAATTCATAGAGGGTGGTATTTAAGGTAGAGTTTAATTAAATATTCATAGGTGTGGGCTTTGAGGATCATCCATTCTTTTGCTGTTTCTGGAAGTCTTGGAAGTGTCATGGTGTCAGGTGTCAGCCATGATAATTTTAATTACGTATCTGTCACTGCAGTAAGGAAGTCAGCAGCCATGATCGGTATTCTCAGCTATCGCTGGTTCTGGGCAGTGGTTTTGCAGAAATAGCAGTTTTCTGTAGCACAAAGTTGGGGGTTGGGTGGGGTAGGTGGAGGCAATAACTCGTGAGGACTAATTCGTTCTGGGAATTGCTCTCCATATCTATCTCTTGCTTTACTTGGAATCTTTATCACTCTGGTTAAATGAAGCTTACTTTTGTGTTCTTTCCTATATCTTTTGGATGGATTGGGCCACATTCAAATTATTCTCATTTATACCAGTGCTCCCCAAACTGTGCTAGAGAGGAGGAAAACTTCATTTGGTGTCTGAAAACAACTGTAGTCTTCAAGATTAAATGACTTGTCCTCATTCCCACAGTTCAAAAGTGGCAAATGCAAACTGAAACCCAGCTTCCTGATTTCCAGCCAAGTGTCACCAGTCTTGAAATTAAAACTACTTATTTCTCCCTTCCCCTCCACCTACTGCCCTATTTTCTCCTCCCTTTTACTGTGAAAACTCCCACATCTACAGTTAAGTGTCTGCATTTGTTTTCTGATTGCTTTCTCCATAAGGCTGCAAGTTGGATTGCCTGCCCACCAAGACTGAAGGTGTAGCTGCAAGGGCAATAAATGAGTAGCACCTTCAGCATTAGATGCCATCCAAGGTTGGTCTTACAACAAAGAGTTAGGCAAGAGAGGGGCACAAAAACATGGGCAGAGACTCTGAAACAGTTTACTGGCTTGGGCTTGTTTTTCAGATGATGTGCCAGGAAAACGTACCTTGCACCATTGTACTCAGAAGGGCCAGGTCACCCCAAACAAGGAAGAGGCAAGAGATCAGAACTTAGAACATACAATTTATGAAGATGTGTGTGCTGTTTGAGTAGGAAGGACTCTTCCACTGCCTGCTTGCTACATCCTAAGTGAATATTGGAACAAGAAGGGATCCCTCACTCCCACTTTTCTACATCCTGGACACTCCCCTAACCCTGGCTATATAAACCCTAGATAACTTCTCAGGGAGGCATGTTCTTCTCTCACTGTCTTACTTGTCACAAATAAATAAAAACTTTCTGTTGAGTAACTCCTGCTTGAAACCAATTATTTGGTGACACCTCAAGCGAACAAATCCTTTGTGTCTGCTAACAACCTTTCCTGATACAGCATGGCAAAGATCAGGTATCTATTTCATTTACTCCTGTACCTATAACTAGGTCAAGGTCTGGCATCAACCTGACCCTGAATAAATATGGGGCAATTAACAAGGCTACTGACCTGACTTTTCTTTGGGAAACGTTCCTTCCTCTGGCTTCTTGGAGAACCCCCTCTTGCTGCTCTTCCTCTTCCTGACGGTAACTCTGGGCATCATCATCAGTTGATCAATCAGTCCATTACAGAAGCACTGTGGGAGATAGAACCACTCTGACTTTGGGGTGATTACATTTCATTTGCAAAAATATGCAAATGAACAATGGGATCACAAACAACATGGCAAAATAGTATAACAGTTTTGAGCCAAACTGAATCCAGATGGCATGGGTTGCTATTGTCTCTAGGTTTTAGTTTCATCATCCATAAAATGGAGATAGTGGAAATTGTTACTTCATATGGTTGTTGCGAGAATTGAAGTACTTAATACATTAAAGCACTTCAAAGATGGCTTGGTATACAAGTGCTCAAAAGATATTTAGAGTGTTTTTTCGAGTCCTGGCTGCTCTTCTTTGTACCCAGTTCCCTGCAAATACACTTGTGAAACAGTAGATAATGCTTCACATACTTGAGTCCCTACCACCTACATGGGAGACCTGGATGGAGTTCTTCGCTCCTGGCCAATCCATGATTTTTGCAGCCATTTGGGGAGTGAACCAGCACTTGGAAAATCACTCCCCTACCTCATCATTCTGCCTTTCAAATAAATGAATAAATAAATCTTTTAAAAATGTTTAAAAATGTGAGATAATACACAAATCATTGCTACAAGTTCTACAGAAAATTTTTTAAAATTTTTGCTTCCTAATGAGAAGTAATCAATTCTTAAAACCTTTTTTTTTTTTTGGACAGGCAGAGTGGATAGTGAGAGAGAGAGACAGACAGAAAGGTCTTCCTTTACTGTTGGTTCACCCTCCAATGGTCGCCGTGGCCGGTGCACTGTGGCCGGCGCATTGTGCTGATCCGAAGCCAGGAGCCAGGTGCTTCTCCTGGTCTCCCATGGGGTGCAGGGCCCAAGCACCTGGGCCATCCTCCACTGCCTTTCCAGGCCAAGCAGAGAGCTGGCCTGGAAGAGGAGCAACCAGGACAGAATCTGGCGCCCCATCCGGGACTAGATCCTGGTGTGTTGGCGCCGCAGGTGGAGAATTAGCCTATGGAGCTGCGGCGCCGGCCTTTAAAACCTATTTTTCAAGCACGCAATCCAAATTTTTCTTTGTAATTGTTTTCGGATATTATCATGAGGGTATTATCCTGTTCAGAACATTCAAGATTTGAGAAATTAGAACTGAGGAAACCTAGGTAACAGCCAACACTAATCAATGTAATTATGGCTCAGGTAATTCCACAAATGGCTGTTGCCACATGCAAGAACTTAGGTGAGATCTGCTAAAGAACTGTCAAACCAGCCCACAGATTGGTGAGAAATCACAAATAACAAAAGTTGCTTTTCCAATCTGCCATCTGCAATGGGACTTCCTTAAGAAGAAAACCATTGCACTTGAAGTTGAACTTAAAGGCCGAGATTCAGAATAAGGAAAGAATTGTTCCTCATCAGCAAAGACTTATCTTCTTATCTTTGCAGGCAAACAACTAGAAGATGGACTAACTTTATCTCGCTGTAACATTCCAAATGAGTCCTCTCCATTTTGTGTTGAGACTTCATGGTGGTGCTAAGAAAAGGAGGAAGAAATCTTACACCTCACCTAACAGAAGGAAGCTGGCTGCCCCAAAGTACTATTAAAAAAAGGAGTAGCTGAGAATGGCACAATTAGTTGTTTTCAGTGGGAATGAACTTTGGAGGACTGTGATTCTGGAATATGTATGGCCAGTACTTTGACAGACATTGTTGTGGCAAATATTGTCTGAGTTAGTGCTTCAGCAAACCAGAAGAGAAGTAATGGTATATGAGGAGTTAATAAAAGACATCAACTAACATAAATAAATAACAAAAGTTGCTAATTCATGTCAGTACTTGTTAAGGTGATTTGTTTCACAGCAAAATATAATCAAAACATTACCTTCAATGTGACTGTCCAGAGGTGGGTATGATAACCTTCTGGTGACTCTTCTAAATCTAGGCATTAAGTATAAACACATAGCTATATCCACTCAAAACAGGAAATTCTGCAATATGTCTTCTAAAACAGCTTTTTGGCCATTTAACAATATATTCTGAATTTTCTTATGAATTATTATATACCCTCACCATTATTTTTTGTATGTATTTAAAAAGGGAGAGAGAGAGAGAGAGAGAGAGAAGAGAGAGAATCTTCCATCCATTGGTTCACTCATCAAATGCCCACAACAACCAGGACTGGGCCAGGCTGAAAACAAGAACCCAGAACTCAATCTGGGTCTCCTATGTGAATGACAGAAGTATTTGAGCCACTATCTGCCATCTCCTAGGGTACACATCAGGAGGAACATGGATGGGAATCTAAGACAGTACTTGAACCCAGGTACCTGATGTGGGATGCACTATGCCCACTCTACATCATTATTTTTCATGGTTGCATTGCACAACATGACTTGTTAACCCATCCCTTCCCAATAAACAGTCTGTTTCTGAATTTTTTGCCACCACAAGAAATAGTTTGATGTGGCACCACCATTATAGCCTTAAGCCACCACCTGAGTCGCTGGCATCCCATGTGAGCATCAGTTCCAGTCCAAGCTGCTCGGCTTGTGATCTGGCTCTCTGCAAATGCATCTGGAAAAGCAGTAGATGGCCCAACTCCTTGGGTCCCTGTAACCATGTGAGAGACCTCCAGCCTCCTGGCTTTGTTCTTTTTTTTTCTGACAGGCAGAGTTTGACAGTAAGAGAGAGAGAGAGAGACAGAGAGAGAAAGGTCTTCCTTCTGTTGGTTCACTCCCCTAAAGGCCACTACGGCCGGTGCGCCGATCCGAAGCCTGGAGCCAGGTGCTTTCTCCTGGTCTCCCATGTGGGTGCAGGGCCCAAGGACTTGGGCCATTCTCCACCGCCTTCCCAGGCCACAGCAGAGAGCTGGACTGGAAGAGGAGCAACTGGGACAGAATCCGGCGCCCCAAACGGGACTAGAACCCGGTGTGCCGGCAACGCAGGTGGAGGATTAGCCTAGTGAGCTGCGGCCCTGGCTTTGTTTTGGTCCAGCCCTAGCTATTGAGGCCATTTCAGGGAGTGAACCTGTGGATAGAAGCTCTCTCTCTCCCTTTCTCTGTACAACTCTGCTTTTCAACTAAATAAATCCATCTCTTTTTTTAAAAAAAAATGTATTTATTTATTTGAAAGGCAGAGGAAGAGAGAGAGAGCGAGATCTTCCATCGGCTGGTTCACTCCCCAAATGGCTACAATGGCTGGAGCTAGGCCAGGTTGAAGTCAGGAGCCCACTCCCCGAGTATATTTTAATGTATAAGGGGCATTTATATCTTCTCTAAAATGCTTATCCTCACTCTGCTCATTTTCCTTTTGTTTGTTTAGTTATTTTATTTGTGAATGATAATAATATTAACCTTGTTATTTATATGCAGATATTTAATTATTTTTACTAATTTCCCTCTAAGAATCTTTAGTTTTATGGGTTTATGCATCTTTTCTTAATTCACAAAGGTTACTTTTAAAATGGTTAAATCTGTCAATCTTTGCTTTTTTGTTTCTGATACTGGTATCATCAGATTCATTTTTTAATGGATAGCAATTTTAAAAAAAGATTTATTTAGTTATTTGAAAGTCAGAGTTACAGAGAGCCAGAAGCAGAGAGAGAGAGAGAGAGAGAGAGAGAGAGACACAGAGAGAGAGAGAGGTCTTCCATTCCCTGGTTCACACGCCAGATGGCTTCGATGGCCCGAGTTGCGCTGATTCGGTGCCAGGAGCTTCTTCCGGATCCCCCACAAGGGTGCAGGGGCCCAAGGACTTGGGCCATCTTTCACTGCTTTCCCACGACATGGCAGAGAGCTGGATCGGAAGTGGGGCAGCTGGGACTCGAACTGGTGCCCGTGTGGGATGCTGGCAATCCAGGTAGCGGCTGTATCACAGTGCCAGCCCTCAGATAGCCAATTTTAAAGTCCTTCAGGAAGTGTCAGTTGCATCTAGGTAAAATCCAGACTCCTCATTCAACATTTTATACCACATTCTATTCCCACCATATCTGGCCAAATTAAGTTTCCATCACTTTTAAAGCAAGTTCTCTGCTCTGGTGAGCTTGGTTTCCTGCATAGTTCGGTGCATGGGCTCTGGAGTATGATGAAGAACCAACTTAGATTTCTGAATCACTTACCAACAGAACGAGAAGAGGTTTTTGGACCTCAGCTTCTTCATATTGAAGTGAGATCAGGGCTAAAGTGCAATGAGACGTGCACAAGCCTCAGGAACAAATGGCCCAGTGCTTGGTAATCAAATGTGAAAAGAAGATTCAGAGGCTATAACAGCAAAGGTAGTAAGACGAGTTAACAAATTGCAGAGACAACTTAGCATGAATGTTGTACCAAAGACCCATAATTGGTGATCAATGCAAATATGTTTCCCTATATGCAGCAACATATTCTGTATTATGCTATTGAAAAATCTGTGGTTCAATATGCTATTGGAATACACCAATGAAATGCATCATTCCTAATAACATAGAATGCTTTATTTTTCCAAGTCTAAGAAGCACTTGGTCCCACATTCTGTGAAGCTGGGATGTGCCTTTCTAGACATTGGTCAGGTGACAGTGATGATAGAGTTGGCATTGCCTCTATATAAGGCTTCAAAAAATTCATGGAAATGTATATTATGAAAAAAATTGATGCATGATTTATTTTTACACTAAAATAAACTTATCTTTAAATCCCAATCCACGAACTTTTTGAAGTATGCTTGTATTTTTAAACACGGTAATAGCTGAATCATCATTTCTATTAAATTCTGTGCATTTTAGTACTATACATATCAAAGCCGTATGCTAAGAAATGCAATTGAAGGCAGGAGAAACTGCCAGATGTGTCAAAATAGGTGAAAGCAAATCCAAAACAACAAGAGGTTGATTTGCTCAATTCATGTAGCATTCAGGACTATAGTTAAGGTATGGAACCAAAATTTGTAAGAAACTTTTGTCTGGCCCAGAGACTGCAGTGACACATAATTTGGTCAAACAAGAAAATTATACTTTATTGAAATGGGATAGTGCCAACCTCAAGTTTGCAGAATGGGTGTCAGCAATTAGTAAGCAAATTCCAGAGGCATGAATGGAAAGTATTTATAAGAAATACTGCATTATCAATGATATTGTGTGGAAAAACATACATTAATGCTCATTGTGAAAACGAATTCAGAATTAAGCTCAGTGTACAGAATTTTAATCAATTTATTTTGCCTCTATTTTCTTCGTTATGTGAAAGGCATAAAGAAGAGTGAGAGACAGATACGGAGAGACAAAGAGATAGGGCAACCATTTGCTAGTTCACTCCCTAAATGCTCTCAATGGCTGGAAATTCAGTACAGGTCTCCCAAGTGTGTGACAAGGACTCAACAACTTGAGCCATCCCCTGCTGAGTGTGCACTGGCAGGAAGCAGGAGTCAAGAGTCAGTCTTGAGGAAAACCCAGGCACTCAATAGGGGACACCTGTCTAGCAACTCGACTGTAAGCCAAACTCTAGCCCCTATTTTATTTATGTATTCTTCTTCATAAGCACATTGTTAAAGGATCTAGGTGTAAGGAAGTCTAAAAGCAAGTTATAAAATAAAGCCTTTGGTGATGCTACGTTGTTTATTGAGTAGTTCTTTTGTTTTTTGGTAGAACACACAATTGAAGATATCTTGGATTTGAGCAGATAAGATAAATTGAATGGGGGCAAAATGAGGCACTAGGTCTGTGAGCTTCTAGACTTCCCTTAGTGAAGGAAGGGAGGCTGGTATTTTGTCATTATCGTTGATGTATAGGTGGGCATTATGTTGCTGCTCAGGAATGAGGCATGTCGTGCTGTGATTTCTCCACCGACATCAGTTGCAGTTGTTTATAGAACTAACGCAATCCAACAAGAAGCCAGCTTCTCACATCACCATTTACAGATTCATAACACAGATCACAGATTGCATTCCGAGTTAGGTAAATACTCCGCGTGTCACTAAGCATTCTTAAAAGTAAATATATTACATATTTCCCAGTACAAAACTAACATGTATTGGTATAGAACATGCCCTATGTTACAGAGGGTCTGTGTATACATGCCTAATGTGCCTTTTTTCAATTAAAATATTTGGGAAGCTCCTTTTAAACATTTTTTCTTACACATTTTTGGATAGCATTTCTTCTTCTGGTTTAAAAAAATGACTCAGATCAAAATAATATATGTTCATGTAAAGTATGTGGTAAGTACAGAAAAGTACAAAGAAGCATGAAAAAACATTCTTAATCCCACCACGCAGAGATGGCCTAATATTTTTGGCCATTACATTTAATGTACACTATCTAGGGCGAACTTGCACACAGGTGCTCCTTGAATGCACCAGTGTTGAATGAGGACCTGCTTGTCTTGCCAACAGAATCACTTACGCATACCTTTTGGTCTAAAACCATTTTCTTCTCAAGTTTGCCTCATTATTTTTTACAGGGTAGGAGGCTGGCCAGGACAAAACCAACTTTCTGTTTGGCAATTGAACGCCACTGTTCTCACTTCATACCTCTCATTCATTCATTCACTCATTCAGATTATTTATTAAGCGTTCACTACGTGCCTGGAATAAGCAGGGGAAACACGCAGGGTCCTGCCCTCCTGCACATTAAAGTGTAAAGAAGAACAGCTAATAAACACACACACACACACACACACACACACACACAGACTTGCATCTTTGGACAAGAGAACAGGTGGCTGGCAAAGTAAATAAATGAGGCAGTGATCTAATTCAGGAGTCGACAGGAAGTCAGAAGGTGAGAAGTCAGAAGGTCAACAAGGAACATAAGGGAAGGTTCTGAGGCTGTCAAACTTTAAGTGGGTGTGACCAAAGAATGGTGAGCCAGGAGACCCTGGAGCTCACTGCATTTAAAGGGATAGGACGGCGCGGGTCCTCTTGAGCCATACTATGGATTTTCAATTTTATTCTATGCACAGGCAGCAGCTTATTTTTTAAAAAATTTTTATGTATGTATTTATATAAGTATGCATGTATATATGTACTTATTTATTATTTTGGTTCTCTGTAGGACTTTTGGAACTCCAGGCGACACAGCTCCAGACCCAGCACTGAGCTTATTTTCAATAGATCGCTTTCAAGGTTCAAAACGTACAAAGTCCAAAGAAAATTCAATGAACACTTCCTCCCTCCTGTTTCTTAGCCACCCAGCTCTCCGCACAGCCGCTAGCGTACATATATATTGGGAAATACTCTAGGTTTAAAAAGGCAATCCTGCCCCCAGAATAAGGCATTTTAGGAAGGCAAGACTATCCGTTTTTCTCATCCCAGCTCAATATTGAGAAAGGTACGGCTCTCTGTGTTGGAGCTCCGCGGTCACGCTCTCGAGGTTCACAAACTTACTCAGCTGCCCGTGCAGCTTCAACACTCCAGACAGTCGGGGCTCCGGGCTCCGTAAACTGCGTCACACCAGGGCTCCCAAGCCCCTTCCCACCCAGCGCTCCCTACCAGGACCCTGCGCGCCCGCAGCTCCCTTCCCGGAGCTCCGGAGCCCCAGAGGCCGGCACTCCGCTCAGGTGCGCGCCTCTGTTCTACGCACACGAGCGGACTCCAGCACGTGGGGCGGTGAGACCGCGGCGCGCCCCGGGCCGCGACAGAGGCGGGTCCCAGCTGGGCCCAGTCCGGGGGCGTGGCCGAGGCCAGAGGCGTGGCGAGTCTTGGGGGGCAGGGCTAGCGCCGGCGTCGGCAGCAATGATCTCCTGAGATTGTTGCCGCGGCGTTTCGGTCCGGAACCCGGGCCACCCACGGGTTGGTGGGCGCCTCTCGGCCCCGGGCTCTGCAAGCCCGGGAAGGTAAATCTGACTGGGAGCCCGGCAGTTGGAGCGCTTGGGGGGCCCACTATGGGGGCGGGCGGCTGGATGGAGGCGGAGGGGAACGTTCCGCGGCGAGTTTCTCAAGAAAGCTGAACTCGTCCCAAGCTTCTTGTGCGTCGGCTGGCTTGCACCCGCGACTTGGTGGCGGGCTCTAGCCGCGCGGGTGGTCTCCGGACCCAGGAGGGGGCGCGGAGGTGACTGGAAGCCTCGGCCGGAGCAGCACCCCAGATTGCTACCGGGGACCGCGCACCGCTGTGGCGGCGGTTTCTGCCCGAGAAAGGGCGTGTTAAGTGCCGCAAGTCGCGTCCCGCGCAACCGCAGCGTGACCGCCAAGCTCCGAGCGCGCGGGTGTGTGAGACGTGCCGGCTCGTCTGGAGCCCACATTACACAACTTCTTTCCTCTTTAGGCCAGACTTGGTGAGTACTGTTCCCCCTGGGGCTAACCCGGAGGCTCCCCGCTATGGACGGCGAGAGCGAAGTGGATTTTTCTAGCAACAGTATAACCCCTTTGTGGCGGAGGCGGTCGACCCCCCAGCCCCAGTTGCTGGGCCGGAGCAAGCCGAGGCCCCAGTCCTATCAGAGCCCCAGCGGGTTGCTGATTACCGATTTCCCGGTGGAGGACCGAGGGACTCTCCCCGCGGCGCAGACTCCCGCCCTGGTGCCCGCCTCCTCCGATGGCAGGACGCTCCAGAGGAGCCCGCTGCTCCTGTGCGCGCATCGGAGGGCTGTGGTCAACGGTCGGACCGTCACCCCGGAGTACAGGGCTGCCTCTCCTCGACTCCGGCGGCCCAAGTCACCCGAGGTGCTCGACGCGCCGTCGGGCGGCTCCGCGAAATCCCCGGCGAATGGCACGGTGACCTCGCCTGTGCCGCCGCCGCCGCCGCCGTCGCCGTGCTCCCCGCGGACGCCTAATGCGTCCGCCCCCTGCAGCCCAGAGGAGAACCCGGCCCGACTGACTGCCAGCCCGGTGCTTTCGTCCACCACAAATGGCCTTGCGCCTAATAAGGACTCCCCTGGCTTGGGTGCGCAGCTCGGTCAGATCGCTCAAGACTCCGATCGGGGACCCTCGAGACACTCTCCTGCTCCCCAGAAAATGTCTTCGGAACAAAAACTGCCCCTGCAAAGGCTGCCCTCCAAGGAGAACGAGCTCCCGGAGAACCCTGCGGTGATCTTGAGTACAAACAGCCCTGCCGCCCTCAAAGTGGGCAAGCAGCAGATCATTCCGAAGAGCCTGGCCTCGGAAATTAAACTAAGTAAATCCAACAGTCAGAATGTGGAGCCCCACAAGAGACTGCTCAAGGTGCGCAGCATGGTCGAGGGTCTCGGAGTGCCCCTGGGCTCTGCAGGGGAGGAGGGCGAGCTGGACAACGATCTGGACAGCCCGGGGTCCCTGCGCAGGGGCTTGCGGTCCACCTCCTACCGCAGGGCCGTGGTCAGTGGCTGTGACTTTGACAGCCCTACCAGCTCGAAGAAGAAGAACAGAATGTCCCAGCCTGTTCTGAAGGCAGTGATGGAAGACAAGGAGAAGTTTTCCAGCCTGGGCAGGATAAAGGTAAGAGTGGGCAAGCAAGCGTGTGGCGTTGCCATTTGCAGAGCCTAGAGTGAATGTCTTCAGAGTGGGAAGGAACACAGAGGAAACCAGGTGTCGTTGTTTTAGTTCTGCGTTGGATGTGCACACCTGGAACATTCTGTGGCTTATCCACAGCTTTGTGGGAGGAAGAGAAACTCCTATCACTTTTAGCTTTCTAAGTTCCAGCTAAATTTGCAGGACAAAAGACAAAAATTATGGCAAGTGAAGGATTGGCTGCATCAGCCCTGAGCACTTTTACTGCAGGTATCTGAGGCTGGGTCTGCACTGTGTTGGTCAGTTTTTCTGGCCTTTGTTTGGAAGGGTCAGTCTGGGTAATAGTACCACAGCTGATGATAATTCAGGATAATGCTGATTCCCCTTTGAGCCTGTTGATGATATTCTGCTTTCATTGTGGTCATTGTGGAGCTTTTTTTTTTTTTATTTAAAGATTTATTTATTTATTTGAGAGGCAGAGCCACAGACAGGGAGAGCCAGAGATAGAAGTCCTCCACCCGCTGGTTTACTCCCCAAATGGCCACAGCAGCTGGAGCTGATAATCGGAAAGCAGGAGCCAGGAGCTTCCTCCTGGTCTCCCACATGGGAGCAGGGGCCCAAGGACTTGGGTCATCCCTCACTGTTTCCAGTCCACCAGCAGGGAGCTGGATCCAGGCCCACATAGGATGCCAGTGCTGCAGGCAAAGGTGGCCCAGCCCATTATGCCACAGCACTGGCTGCTGGCCCCCATGGAGTTGTTTTTTTAAGTGGTGATCACACAGGTGATGTCAGGCAGTGTTAATTTTAAAATCAATCACTAGAATCCCAAAAGGTAGAGTTTTTCATCTGTTTTGTCACTTATTCCTGTCATCATGGCCTCTGTATTTCATTTCCATTTTTATACCTAGTTGTCTTTCACTGCATTTAACACATTGTTGGACCAGAATTTCAGGATAGGTTCAGCTGTGAGAAATTGCTACCTGATACAGGCCTAGGAGCTGCACTTTCTGAAATACTGTCAAACAGAACATAAAGAATTACGGAAAACTAGAAAGCGATATTTGAGAGTATGTACTGCCTTCCCCAGAAACAAGGCAGATCTCAGTAATAGGGCCGAGATTCCTTTTGGCAGCCACATTTTTTCTTGATTAATCAGAGAACTGGAACCAGTCTATATAAATGTCACATGTGTAATACACAAGCAAGCCTGTTTTGTTTTAGAGTGTATGATCTTAAAAGACATTATAGAATGTTTTACGTGTCTTTTTTTCCAACTCTGCAAGTATAGCAACATTCAGTGTAACAGTGATGGTGAATCGTAAGTAGTAAAATGAATTGAGTGGCTGGTCATTTGAGGACTTTCAATCTGTTTTGACAGGCTGTGGGGGACATTTATATTTTATTTCACTGTTTCAATGAATTGTGGTGGTCATAGGAGTGAGCTGCTGTGTGTATCTACTGTGTTGTGGTTTTGGAAATCTAATGAATGGAACAATAGAAAAAGTACTTTTACTTAAAATAGATGTATTTTCTGTTTGGCTCATTCATGCGTAATTTGCTTTGCTTTTTCCTCTTTTTTAAATTTTTTGCTTGTCTCTTAGAAAAAAATGCTGAAAGGACAAGGAACATTTGATGGGGAAGGTAAGCATGTAATTTTCCAGACTTTTATTGCTGTTTCAATGTGGAATATCAATTATAAGTTGAAATCCAAATGCAGTAACAAAAACACTTAAAATGAGAAATAAGTCCAAGTTTTGCCCAAATTATACAGTGCAAAGCTCTGTGCTAAGCTAAATTGTCATCTAATAATACCAACAGTGAATAAAGTTCATAGAATTTTCAATAAGCTGATAACTTGTCAGTGTCCTGGGATTTTTAATTCTTCTCTGCTTGGGCTCCATCCCAGTCTTTTCTCAAAAAGTGGAGAAGAAAGCGTAGGCCCTAGATTTTTAGTTAATAATTCTTAGAGTTTGTCCTTTAGATCTTAAGTCATGGTTCCTTAGGTTGTATTTCCTTTGAATTTCTTTTCCTCATATTTCCACATTTTATTATAATTTCTGACTTATGTTTCCTTTGGGGAATTATAACTTTCCTGGGTGACAGAAACATATTCTTAAGAGTTTGTAAGCCATATAATATTTTTGTTAAAGCTCTCAAAAACAAAAACAGCTTCCCCCAGGTGTTCAAACCCTAATCAGATTAGTAGACATTCTGAAAATAGATGGCTCAAGTGTCAGCCAAGAGTTCGCGGGAGCAGTCCCAGCTGCATCCTCTAAGGGCTGGAGGTTCCTGGTGGCAGTGGGTGTACTTGCTTTCCGTCATGCTGTGCAATGCTAAGATTTTCCAACCTTTGAAAAATAAAGAAGCACTGCTCCTCTGTAAGTAAAACCACTCAACAGTTAGATAACCTTGGGTTATCATTGTACTAATCTCAGGAAACCACTGGACATGGGGAAGAAACCTAGAAACAGTATTTTAACTGGTTAGAATAAGTTCATCTCTGTAATTTTGGCAATGGAGGAAACCAGAAGCTCTGAGAGGTGTAGTAACTTGTCCACTGCCACATGGCTAATAACATAGACAGTGCTAGGTCAGAGATCTGGCTCTTCATTCCTTTTGCTTCCTTTATACTACTCTCAACGTGCACTAAAGATGACCTCAACTTGATGCCTTCTTAGGGAGATGCTTTGCACCTCCTAGAACTTGACATTGATTCTGTGACCTTTGCTTCAGAGGGTTAAGGTTTTGGAGATTTTTAAAAGTCAGAGAGCAAACCTTTATTTGAGCTAGTTTTGTGTTCTTTTTTTTTTTTTTTTACTATGTAACTTTCTGTGTATTCTCTCTTCCCTCTTCTCAAATATGATATAGAGTGGTTTTTTTTTTTTACAAATATAAATATATACATCAGGAATGAATGATTCTTACATTTAATGACTAACAAGAATATGCCTGCATTAGTTAGCTTTTTTGTCACTTTAAATACCTAAGAGAAGCTGCTTAAGAAGGAAAGAGGCATATTTGGGTTCACAGTTTTGGAATTCAAGATCAGGTGGACCTCACTGGCTTGGCATCTGGTAAGGCAGGAGGACGACGAAGGCAAGGCATGTACAGAGGAAGGATCACATGGTGAGTCCAAGAGCAG